AGGAAGCATCTAGCTAGCTATCAAGGCATCTAGCCATCTCCAACCCGTACACCTTCCTCAGGCCTCACATAGATCGTCCTTTCTTCCCCTTCCAAAGAAGCCTAGTCTCTCCATCCTCTCCCCCAAAACAAGCACTCCCTCTCCTGAGCCTCCTCCCTTCGAGCCATGATCACAGCAAGATCCTTGGTTGTGGGTATGCCAGTGACGATGATCATCATCAACTTAAGAAGGAAGATGAGGATGTAAACATCTCACTCCAAATTGGGCCGGCGAATCCGAACACCGCGCCTAATCTTTTAAGGGGTACTGTGAGTGATGGTGGTTGCGATGACGCAACAGGAACAGCACCAGATCAGTGTGGTGGTGGCGATCACAGCAGGGCGAATGAGCAGGAGGAAGAGGAAGACGACGATGATGATGCCGCCGGTGATGGTCTCTGTTTGGAGTACTTTGCCGCTGGTAAGCTAACCAAGGGCAAGTATTGGATCCCTACCCCGCTCAGATTGTTAGAATAAAACCGAGGCGTTTCGTCTTTCTACCGAGGATTAAGCAATCACACAAGCACGATATCGAGATTTGTTAACGAGGTTCACCGATATGGCTACATCCCTGGGGCATGACTACGGGCGCTCCTCCCCATGACACCGTCACAATACCGCACCCCGGCCGCCCGGGCGCCGGCACACGCCGCCGGCTCCCCCGCGTGCCTGTGCTATTATGTTGGCATAGGTTACATCGTGTGTCTACCCTCGTTATATATGAGAGGCCTAGGATACAAGTGTCCTATTAGGACACAACTCCTACCCTGTCTACACACAGTCCAAACCAAGTCCAATTGTAACCTACCTTGTACAATAATATTCGACATAATTCTAACAAACTCCACCTTGGTGAATATTCTTCACCACCTTGAATTCGTCCGTGCGTCGAACCTCCATGTACATTGGACTTGAGATACACCATGAGCACCGCTGCTACTCCCAGACTCCATGTGACTCCACCTGCAACTGTAGTCCCTTCTCGTCTTCATCACAGTCAACAGTCGAGAAAAAAAAATTAAGTTCCTCGTTACTCTACTTTGTGCTCCCAACTGAACTCAACATCACCGCTCTTTCATGACTGTCTGTCTGAAACTTGAAGGAATTTCACCGTCGCCCTGTGTCACCCTGAGTCAAATTCATAGTTGTCTCACCCTTTTCTCGGATAGTCTCTAGCATGTACCACAGCTATAGCACTCAACCTCCTTCTGTACTTGTCACCCGCACTTTGCCATGTGCACCGAACACCACAGAATATACGGCCATGTACTCTCTCCGCTTTTGACAATTTCAGACTTTCCATCACTTTCACAGATTCTCCATGGTCAACTCTTGTCCATCTTCCGGCACCGATAGACCCAGTCACCAACTTGAATCCGGTACTTGTCAACACTGCTTCAGCACCCCCTGCACACTTTGTCTAACAACATATCTGACCACCGATGCCCTGGCCTATCGCTGTGTCCCGTGCTTACCGCACGCCTCGTCGCTATCACCGCGTCGAGCCTCTGCTGTCCTGGTCGAGTCTCTCGGGCCGCGAACCCACACCACTCAAACCCCTACTGCAGAGAACCACCGATCATCACTGACCGATGCCGAGTATCACGTCTCCATCAGACCACTGGTACCCATTCCGATCCACGTGTCTCTCGCTATCCTGCCGAAATAGGCTTCGACTCTCCGAATTCTTACGCCATAGCCCCTCCGTCAGCTCAGAGTGAAGTCGTCCATCATACTCCAGCTCCACCTTCAACATGACTCCATGGTAGATGATCAGTCCACCCTCGCGCCCCGTCGACTTCAAGCTCTCTCATGTGTGCACTGCCTTGAATCAACCCCACGCCATAGTCTTGTCGAAGCCGCACAAGCCCTCGGGCCCGCACCACGTGTTTCCACGCTCCAGAAGTCAGCCACCATCAGCATCACGCTCCTTGTCGTCGTCGCTGAAATCACCGCCGTCTTCTGCTTTGACCGACATCCCCGTCGATCCGTCAGACAGTCTAGTCCGACCCAGCCGAAGTTATCCGACTGCAATCATGCTCCACCTCGCATCTTGTCCGCCCGCACGTCTTAGTGCATTGCTTGACGCCCTGTGTCTGCATGATCCCTCACGACGCGCTCCAAGCTCCACAAGCCTTATACGCACGTCGCCAATTTACTGTTGTCTCTGTTGTAGGACGTTCTAACTGACCAAAAGCCATCAGTCCGACCACGCCCCACCAGTTGTCCTCCTGCCGTGTGGCTCTCCGATCACCCGCTGCTCACCTAATGGCTTCTCTCGCTAAAACCATCAGGACTCGCACGACTCTGTATTTGTTTGTCCACGTCGTCCATGCTCTACGGCCCTGACAACACTTGCAAACCTAACTCTGCCAATTGTCGTAGTCCCCTGAGCAAGCTGATCATGCCAACACCATCTAAACTATACAGGAACCATCCCTGCTGCCCATGACACCTTGATATTCCTTGTAATTGTCTAGAACCACGAGAATATAATCGCAATCCAACAGCCAACACCAGTCCTCCTCTTACACATCACGTATCTTCCTGATGCATGCACTCCATGTACTTTTGACTAGCACAAACAGCACCAAATACACAACGTGTCCTCGATCCTGCCCTTGACTTTTGATTGCTCTTTTCCTTTTAACAAATCTCCTGTCACCTGCATGCACCGAAGCTCCTTCTGTAGACCTGTAGCGACCAAAGTTGCTCCCTCATTGACCTCCTGCGTGTCTAGCTTGCTGCGCCTGGGCCATCTGAGTGCCATGGGCCTGCTGCTGCATCTAGCCCAGCCCCAGCCTCCAACGAGCGATCGGCGTGGAAAGCACGCTAGCTCGCCGGCCACGCGTGTGTCGAGCCTCGCGAGCCGCCTCCCTGCTGCCGCTGGCTGTACGTGTTCCGCTCGGATCCTGCCACCTCGAACACAGCTTTTCCTTTTAAC